GCCTGCCAAGTTTCAAGGAGATAGGTGCAGGGGTTTCTAGGAAACTGCATTTCAGGCTGCTGACAAGCAGGAGCCGGGGAGCAGGACCAGCGTCCTGTGATCCGGCAGGCCAATCAGGGGCCTGCACCCCCAGGAGGAGTCTGGCAGAGCGCCTCCTCCAGCCCAGTTGAGTTCCCAGCTGACGGCAGCACTGGGCAACTCAGCCAGGCTGCAGGAGGGGCTTCCTCCAGCCCAGCTGAGTTCCCCAGCACTGCGATCAGCCCAGCGCTTTCCCATGTCTCCCACCACCTGGCTGGCTGTTTCAAAATTCAAAACGTTTTGACTTGCCTTGTTTCATTTTGAGGCTCTCTCAAAGCCCTTCGTTTCATTTCAATTTCACTGTTTCAAGCTTGAAACAAGTCGAAACAAAACAGCCATCGAAGCTTCGCACAGCCCCAGCAGGCACCTACCCTGGAAATCTTCAAAAGGAGACTGGACACACACCTTCCTGGGGCTATTTAACCGCAGCAGTCTTTCCTGCCCAGAGCAGGGGGGCTGGACCCAATGATCTCATGAGGTCCCTTCCAGCCCTAAATTTCTGTGAATCTGTGAAACAGGGATGCAATTTTCTTCTTCTATGAAAATGCAACCAAATTTGGCCAACTTATAAGGCTCTTAAAAAGTCTCCATTTTACTATGTATTTAGCAAAGTTCTCAGGGGGAAGGAACATATTTTGGAAGGAACATATTTTGCGCTCATGAAATAATTTAATTTATTCCTCACAAAAGTCAGAGGCTAATATGCTGCTAAGAAGGGAACCGTACTCTCAGTTTACCGCTGCTGTCAGTGCGGAGAGTTCTCTTTTGCACGGTCAGTGACACTTCCTTCAGACGTACATTTTCTCAAATAATGGGGAACATTCATCCTCACCTCAGCAGCCTCACTTCTAGAACTGTAGGCTGAACAAATGCACATTATCTCTATCTTCTGCTTCGTTTTTTGTTCTTTTTCTCTCAAACTGCTATAGAGGATTCAAGCCCTTGCTTCTCATGGGATTGAGATCACTCTAGAAATTTATTTTACATGACTTCAAATGATCCACCTCCCCTGCCACCCTGTAACAGCATTGTCTCTAGGGATGGCCATGAAGCCCCTGGAGTCCCTTCAACCTTTACCCACTCTGGTCTCTGTGGGCAGTCATTCACTCACCACACCTTTATGTATTTGCTTTATATAAAAGGGAGGCTGCCCCAGGGCTTCCCCAATCTGCTCTCATTCTAATGACCACCAGGTATCTGTGATTATTGCTTTATGGTCTAATTGCATGGCTCCATCCATCCCTACACCACACTTCATGCCATGCAGGTGCCACCACTCTCCGATATTCTCACCCCCCTCCAGGCTCCTGGACCACCTGGTCCCACCTTCAGCCCCTCTCTAGGCTCCTGGACCCTTCTGGTCCCACCCTCAGCCCATCTTGGGGCTCTTGTCTCACTCTCAGCCCCTCTTTGTTTTCCTGGGCCCCCTTACTAAGCCCCCAAGGACCTCCTCCTCCCCATAGTCCCTTTCCAAACCTCCAGACTGCTGTAGGCTGTTCTCTCTGTGCTGGCACTCAGGAACTACAGCCATCATGCTTAGGAGATGTTCCTTCAGCAGTCTCCGGGATCTTACTACTGTTTCAGTTCAGGGCATGGGCTTATATCTGGTCTAAGCCCAGCCTTCCTCCTGGGTCAGATGACTACACAATCAGCCCTGGCCACACTTGTAGGCCGATTCTGAGGCATGGTCCCTAACTGCCTTCCTGCTGCACCTGCAGCCTGTCTCAGCCACAGCCTGCCTGCTCCTAAAGTAGCAGAAGCTCCAAGTGTCTTGCTACATATCCCCAAAAAACCAAAACCACCACCAATCAGGCAAATGTTGACTCTCATTACAGGAACTGTTCCTTGTTCTTTTACTAAGTCTTGGGAACGCTGGGAAGAGTACAACAAACCTTGCTTCACTTTTAGACCAACTAAGAGTATAAAAGGTGGCTGTAAAGTATCTGATGAAACAGCTATTAAATGGTATGAAAGCAGTGTCAGGGTATGGACACACACCCATTTTTAGTGCTACTAAGTGTTGAGACACTTCTCATGTTTTGTTTTTGTTGAGATACTGTAAAATAGTATTAAAATAAAATACTATGCAGATGTGCACGTATGCAGTCCTCAGACTGGAGCACTACAAAAAGTGTGCTCTCCAGCAAGAAGGAAATAAAGCAGCTGCTTCTTGGGTCCTCTCACCCTGAAGAGAGCTCATCAGTGAGGCATCCACAGCAGAGAGGCTGCCTCCAGCTGGTGCCCATGTACAAGAAAGTCCCTGTTCAGACTGAACAATTACATGTGACACTATAAAATGTAGCGTTACAGAAGAGTTCTTCTTTGAGAGAGGACATTTTTGTGGCAAAGCCATCATTTTTATGGCGCTACAAATAGCCTGGACCAGGGCTGGATTAACCCTTTAGTGGGCCCTAGACAAACAATCTTGTTGGACCCAGGCCAGTCGAGGCCCCCCTCCCACCCTGGTGCTGCCACCCATGGGGAGTGGGGCTTGGAGCCACAGCTAGGAAGCAGCTGCAGCAGCAGCAGTGAGGCCAGTGGAGGGGAGGGGAAGGGAAAGGGAGGTGGATGGAGCCATTCACCCTGCCACTGTGAAGGCCTGGGGCCCTGTGTCGCTCAGGGCCCTAGGCATGTGCCTAGTTTCCCCATGAATTAATCCAGCCCTGGCCTGGACATACAGACACTCATTTTTGTAGCAGTACAAGGGCAGTTATAGTTCTATAAATGTAAGGCGTGTCCTTACTCTGAGAAACTTAGGCGCCTTGCAGGAAAGGGATTTGAAATGGGGAAAATTGGAAGACTCAATCTGAATCAGAGAAGCACTGAAGAAAAGGTTAAGAACTTACTTAACAAGATATGCACTCCCTTCCTAAGGAGAATCTCTTTCACCTCCTGCCGGACACATGGTAGAAGTTCTACATCAGCAAGTGCCATTTTTGAATGAATGAGAGTGATCTGTGGAGACAACGTAAAAATAACTATAGACAGTGTCAAGGGAGGAAAAGGTATCAGATAGAACCAGAAATAAGCCCTTAATATGAAGTGTGATAAGCATGTTTTCTTCTGCTTGCTGAGAAACAAAGCAGTAGATAAGCCTTAGGTAGGTTGCTGGTCTGCAGTATGCATTTCCGGGTACAAAGGCAGAATAGGGAAGAAGGGAAGGAGAAGACCAATGGAAAGGCTGTAAACAATTCCTCCAGTCACTTCCAGCTGCCAGCACTGTAGGACAGTGGGCTGTGAGGTTGCTCAGAGCTGCTCCAGGTCTAGCCTTGATAAACAGGAGGCACTGGGAATCAGCCATTGTCAGGGACTTCATAGCTACTGAAATCCCAACCTCCTCTGGCAGGAAGCACTGCAGAAGAACAAAAAGTTTAAGGCACGCAAACAAGTGAGCAATCGCAGATGGGGTATTTAATCACATAATCCATTTCTAGTACCTCTTTGGCTGGGTATTCTGTTTTGATCTCTGCTGCCATCTCTACTCCAGCAGCACCACCTCCCACTACCACGATACGTGAAGATTTCTGGATCTTTCAAAACCAAAAACAAATAAAGAAAGTCACCTTGTAATGTTACAGGACTTCAGAAGTCACAGCAAACTGGGGAAGGGAAGCGTTCATCCAGCAGCATCCCAGCATCTTTCGTGATCTATTGCAAGCCCTTTTTCTTAGTAAAACTGAATCATTGCAGGAACTGCCAAGTGAACAGTCAGCTTGTCTCCATGCTCCAGAAGGAGAGAGATGAAGCTGTCCCTCTGAAGGTTGTTTGAGGGTCACCACAGATATTCCCCCCTCCACACACATACATCCACAAGCCACTTACACTTGAAAATTGCCAACGTAACTGAACTGAATGGCTACCAGTCCTTTCCTAGGACTCTGGCGTATCAACCAATGCTTTCTACAGAAACACAAGGAAGAGGATTGTTTGTCTATTTACACAGCAGTGACCCACTCCTAGCTGATAGCGTACTGATGCAGCCCCAGGCACATTGAGAAATAGGTTCAGAGCTTCTGTCAACATATACCTTAGAATGGTTTGCAGCAAATTTGAATTGGAATATTTAAAGAAACAAGCCTGAAAAAAGCAAAACTGAACCTGCTCGGGATGCAGGAATACATATTTTTAAATTATGGAATTCCACTGTAAATGTGAGTAATTAGAAAGATTATAAAACTACCCAATTTTCTTTTATACGTGCCCCCAAATATCCACACATACACACACCATTTTTGGAAGGCTCCAAGAAAGGAAAATAAAAATAAAGTTCTACCCTGGAGTATGGGTAAGTACCAGAGGTTTGGGGTCTGCAGGACTAGGGGCCATAAGGTACAGTAGGACTTGACCTATCACACCAGTGCTAGGTTCAACTCTAAGCACTGGCTCTGAGACCACGTGCCTACTCTGGAGCCACAAGCTGGGTCCAGGGTCACATGCTGGGTTGGACCTGGCACTCTGGTCTGGATATGGACCAACTTTGCATGTCATCCCAACCTGGC